TAATAATAAAAATAGTGCCTGGTTCATAAAATTCTCATAGTTACTATATAAAATGTTGGTGAGGGAAAACAGTTTTTATACTGCCAAACAAATCTCGTTATTCTCCATGACAACTCATTGATAGAGGCAGGAATACAGATTATCATCCATAACTTTATAGCTTCAAAAATCAAAGTTCAAAATGTTCAATTATGGGTTGGTGAGATGACTCAGTGGCTAAAGGTACCCACCACCAAGCCTGAGGAACTGAATTCGATCCCTGGGACCCACATGGTGGAAGGAGCGAACCGGCTTCTTCAAGGTTCAGTTGTCCTCTGACCTCCACATGTGCACTGTGGCATGTGTCCCCCAATAAATATAATGATAAATGATTAGCTTTTTACATGCAACCAACCATACAAGCATGTGCACTATAATGCTCCATTCAGAACATGGATCTTTACCGTCTTTATTTCCACATCACAGCACTGCAAGATCCTTACTGCTATTTTAAAAAGCAGACTACCTATTTTTAAAAACATTCTCAGACACATTTAAAAGGCCATATTAAAAGCTACCAACCATTGGGGCTGGAGAGATGGCTCAGTGGTTAAGAACACCGCTTCTTCTTTCAGAAGACCCTGGTTCGAATCCTAGCACCACATAGCAGCTAACAACTCTCTGTAACTCCAGTCTCAAGGGATCCGGCAGCTTCTTCTGACTTCCATGGGGATTGCACAACATGGGTGCACTTATCTACATGCAGGCAATACACACATAAAATAACAAATAAAAACTTTTTAAAAAGCTAACAAAAGTAAAAGCTCTGGTTTGCATTCCTCCTGGCATCTTGAGGAGGACATATTCTTCTGGAGATATTTGGTAATGGATTCTAGTTTTTGATTCTTAAGCTTTGAGAGATTATTCTTGGGATTCAGGAAAGAATAAAGTCACCCCCCCCCACAACACATCCTCAGGATATTGAAATACTTTGGTCTTATTTCCCAGTCTGCTTTTCACGGCACCTGTTATTTGGGAGGATATAATAGTCATAAGTCAGTCAATGTCAATAAATATGCTTAACTGTTGGCAGGAGGGGGGCATCCAAGAGGGAAGAACTAGTAAGAAGTCTGGGGGACGGGTCAACGCAGCAGCACATGGGGGTTGTGTTACCAACCTCCTCTGTGCAAGCCTTACCACCCAGAAGATGGGGACCATCTTCAGTGGAAATCCATCACGGCAGTATTTCAAAGGCAGAGAGAGAGAGAGAGAATCAGAAGACAATTTGCAGGAATCAGTTCTCTTCTTCTACCATGTGAGTCCCAGGAATTGAACTCAGTTCATCAGCCTTGGCAGCAAGCTCCTCTAGCCCCTTTTTGCCAGCCCCAAATCTGCACCATTCTTGATCTTGTTTGTTACTTTTGTTTTTCAAGACAGGGTCTCCCTGTATCCCCAGCTGGCCAGGAATTCACTATGTAGACTTGACTAGCCCTGATCTCACAGAGATCCACCTGTCCCTGACTCCCAGGTGCTCATATTAAAGTATCATTACTCTTTCAGATTCACTTAATTGTGTGTGTGTGTGTGTGTGTGTGTGTGTGTGTGTGTGTGTGTATCTGTCTGTGTCTCTGTGTGTGCAGAGAGACCAGGAGAGGGCACTGGATCCTCTGAAGCTGGAGTTACAGGCCATTGTGAGCTGCCCAACACAGGTGATGGGAACTGGACTTGGGTCATCTGCAAGAGCAGCAAGTGCTCCTGACCACTGAATCATCTCTCCAGGACCTCTTGATCCCATTTTATAGGTGAGAAGATTGTGGCAGGAAGTTTTCAGTGATCTTTGGACCTAAATTTGTGAGTTTAAGAATTAAATCTTCCATGGTAATTTTCTCTCAATGTTAGTACAGAGTCTGGTTCATAGCATGTACCCCAGAAATCTGCTCTAATCTGTGCCTTAGGGGTTACAATACTGTATTAGTCAGGGTTCTCCAAAGAAACAGAACCAGTAGAATGAATATATA